TTCTGTTCACGTATCTTCACTTGCTGTGCCTTATTTTGTTGTTGTTATCAACAGCAACATAGTATTTTTGACCATACTTAAATTAAGATGCAGTTGGGACATATTTTTTGACCTATTTAAAAAAAAAAAAAAAAAAGCCATTAAGTATGAAAGTAATCACAGAAAATGTGATGGTGTGATTATGTAAATTGATTATGTAAAGTACAGTATTTTAAAATATCCAGTAAATTTTTATATTAAATAATACATACATTCAGTGTTTTTTCCCCAAAAAAGGCAATTTTCAGACAAGGTAAAACACAATGGGAATGCACAGAGAAACTTCAAACATGGTAAAATTTTAGCTCAGTCACCTTATTATACAGAAAAATGCATTTGACAATGTATGCTTGTCTGATCTGTCCCTCAGTAAAATACCTTCTGGGTTATCAAAGTCTTTTTTTTTTTTTTTTTTCAGAGGTGCCATTACAGTCCTGGGAGCAAGCTGCTGACACCCTGAAGTTCTGCTTCTTGCAGTATTGCCAGGGCACTGCAGGAATGATTTGCCTCTCATCGTTCAGAGAATAGTGAGTGATGCAGAGTAATGAGCCATGACACTGAATAAATTGAAGGAATGAGATACAACAGAAAGCGTGGTGCTGAGTCCTACAGTGGAGACCTTTGTGTTGGTTAATCTGAACCTTTAATTTAATTAGATTTATGTGCAGCAACAGCAGGGCGTGAGGCTTTAGTACACGGTCAACCTCTTAGCTACTTTCTGGGAGACCCAGTGTAGTGGGTTTACTTGGCAAGGTTTTGGTAGCAGCGGCCACAGGGGTGGCTTCTGTGAGAAGAATCTAGAAGCTGCCCCATGTTAGATAAGGGCCCCACTGCTGACCAGAGCCAAGCCAATAAGCAATGTTGTTTGTGCCTCTGTGAGTGCAGATTGAAGACGGGGGAAAAAAACGCTGCCTCTCAGCAGCTGGGAGAGTGAGAGTAGTGAGAAACAGCCCTGCAGGCATCAAAGTCAGTGAAGAAGGAGGGCAGGAGGTGCTCCAGGCACAAGGCAGCACAAGTTCCCCTGTGGCCCGTGGAGAGGCCCCTGGTGGAGCAGGCTGTCCCCCTGCAGCCCATGGGTCCCACATGGAGCACATCTCCACGCTGCAGCCCCCCCATGGGTGGAGGAGCCCCCGGTGGAGCAGGTGGATGTGGCCTGGAGGAGGCTGCAGCCCATGGAGAGCCCCCGCAGGAGCAGGCCCCGGGCCGGAGCTGCAGCCTGTGGAGAGGAGCCCACGCAGGAGCAGGGGGTCTGGGGGGAGCTGCCGCCCACCCGTGGGGGACCCGTGCTGGAGCAGTTTGCTCCTGGGGGATGGACCCCATGGGATGGAGCCGTGTGGGAGCAGTTCCTGAAGAGCTGCAGCCTGTGGGCAGCCCCCGCAGGCTCAGTTCGGGAAGGACGGCATCCATGGGAGGGACCCCACGGGGAGCAGGGGCAGAGAGGGACCCTGAGGGAGCGGCGGAGACGAAGCGCCAGGCACTGACCGCAGCCCCCACTGCCCATTCCCCTGCGCTGCTCAGAGGGAGGAGGTAGAAGAAGGTGGATGGGGTGAAGGCATTTTTTGTTTCTTTCGTTTCTCACTTCTCTAGATTGTTAGTATTAGAAAATAAATCTTACTATCTCCCTATGCTGAGTATGTTTTGCCCGTCACGATAATTGTTCAGCAATCTCCCCGTAGATATCTCAAACCTTGAGCCCTTTGCATCCTATTTTTCTCCTCCTTTCCCTTTGAGGAGGGGGAGTGAGAGAGCAGTTGTGGTGGAGCTCAGCGGCCCACCCGAGTAAAACCACCACACCCAGTTCTCCCAAGATGAAACCGAATACTATAAAAACAGCCTTGTAAGAAGGGCTTGCTAAGTTCTCGTGTTAGGCTGTTTATTTCCATTGTTCCATTATTCCCATTGTTCCTCAATGGGCACTGGGCCTCACTCTGGGAAGCGGCAGAGGACAACCCCCCAGCCTAAGGGGGCAAGTGAAAATATCACCTTTATCTACTTGTCTGAGGCACAGAACTAAGGGGCTGCATTCGATCCAACCATTATGGAGCCTAAACCAGATGCTGGCATTTGGGTTCAAAGAGTGATGAGCATCTGTGCGTCAGCCAGCATGGCCAAGCCCTAGCTCCACCCCAGGACAACATGGACACGCAGCCCACGCTCGAACTACAGTCACTGTCTCTGGGGGTGCTTAAGGAAAACACCTAGGAGGAAGCAAAAAACCTGGGAGGTGTTCACATGCAATTTCTTTCTTTATGAGAAGGTGAACACAAAGTCTGGGTATGAATCCTAATGGTTGTAGAGCATTTGGATTTGAGGTATTAGCTTGGATCTCTTCTTCCTTTCCTCTTTACATTGGTCTTGAAGGCATTGAGCAGATTCTAAATATTTTCAATGAAAACAGAAAAAGACTAAAAGGGCCATTCCCCCGCTTTGCTTTGTGATGGGGAGAACCATGGTTGAGGCTGTTATATGCTGACGTGGCAGTTCCTGCAATTGTTCCTGAAATTTCTCACTTCTGGAGTTCCACAGAGACACTTGAAGGACACCTGGAGCATAGCAGGTGCAGGGAAATCAGGCAGGGTCTGCTAGCCTTTGGGCAGTGTGATACAAAGACCAAAGGACGGATGCAATGATCCATCTTAGAAGAGGAAATCCACCCAAGAAATGGATAACCTCAATGGTCAACCCCCCATAAGCATCCAAGACTGGATGAAATGGTGCGGCTGGGGAGGAAGAGGAAATCCACACAAGAACTGGATGACCTCGACAGTCAACACCCCTGAAAGCATCCAAGGATGGATGAAACGGTGCAGTTGGGGAGAAAAAGGAAATCCACCCAAGAAATGGATGACCTTGACAGCCAACCCTCCAGTAAGCGTCAAAAGGTGAATGATGCAGAAATGGAATTGGACTCACTAACAAAGTTTTTGCAGACCATCAGGGCATGCGTTGACATTAACAAAACGATGACAGTTTGGGACAGATACCCACCAACAGCATTGGTGCAAAGCATCAGAGTTCAGCCTGAGAAGAGCAATGTCCAGGCCACAGACCCACCAACAAGGTCAGTGAGAACCATCACGGTGCAAAATGAGAAGACTAATGTGCAGGCCACAAACAGATGCCCACCAATAAAGTTGGTACAGACCACTAGGGTGAGGCATTAGGAAGACGGTGTCCAGCCCAAGGATAAGTGCCACGAAGAAAATGGGGGCAAACCATCAAGGCACAGTCTGAGGAGAACAATGTTCAGCCAGAGACGGAGGGGGGAGAATGACTGTGGACTTACCACAGGTGGGAAGCTGAAGTACGTTAGTGCAGCTAGCCCCTGCTTGCCTTTCGCTTGCCACCAATAAAAGACCTGTGAACTTTCAAGCGTTGTTTGAGTCCTCCTTTCCTGTCCCACACTGAGCCCCCAGTCATGGAGGCTGCTGAGATTAGGGGTTCTGCACATGGCCCCTGGGGAGAAGGGAGGGGAAGGTCTGCATGTATGGGCGCTGTTCATAGAATCATAGAGTCATTCAGGTTGGAAAAGATCTCCAGGATCATCCGGTCCAACCATCCCCCTACCAGCAACATCACCCACTAAACCACGTACCTAAGCACCACATCCAACCTTTCCTTGAACACCCCCAGGGATGGTGACTCCACCACTTCCCTGGGCAACCCCTTCCAGTACCTAACCACTCTTTCTAAGAAGCTTCTCCTAATCAGCACCATCTCCCACTGCAAGGTAGCCCATTTGTTGAGCCATGTAAGATGGATGAATTGGAGATGAAACGGAGAAGACTGCTTCTTATATCTGTGGTAAGGATGAGCAACATGATGCTGGGGGTACTCAGTATCTGCCTCCTTTGCCAGGAAGGAGCTTCCTGCGATGTCAGCTGCCACCTACTCTGATGTCACCTCAGTGTTCGCTGGCACCCACCCCACAAAAGGGGCTGCCCTGTAGCTGGCAACCTCTTGCCAAGTTTCTTGCTCCTGGAATTCAAGGAGACTTGGAGTAGACAGGGTGCAAGGAAATCAAATGATGTGGCTAGTGAGGAAGAGGAAACCCAGCCAAGAAATGATTGACCTAGACAGCCAACTCCCCTGTAAGCATCCAAGGATGGATAAAATGATGCGGCAGGGGAAGAAGAGGAAATACACCCAAGAAATAGGTGCCCTCGATAGTCAACCCCCCAGAAGGTGTCCATAGATGGATGATGGGGATACAATGGTTGGGAACCCACTAAAAACATGTGAGCAGACCATTGGGGGGTCGGCTGAGGAGAACAACATCCAAAACGTGGGCAGGCACCCACCAACACAGGTGGTGGAGACCACTGGGATGAGGCATGAGAAGGACAATGTCCAGCCCATGGACAAGACCCACAAAGGAAATGGGGGCAGCCCATCCAGGCACAGCCTGAGGAGGACAACCTTTCAGCTAGGGAGTGGGAGGGTGCATGACTACTGTTCTCCCACAGGTGGGAAGCAGAGGTACATCAACCCTGCTAATCTCTCACTTGCTACCCATAAAAGATCTGTTCACGTTCAGGAGTTGCTTGAGCCCTCCTTCACTGTGCTGTGCTGAGCCCCAACTCACGGAGACTGCTGAGGCGGGGTCTCCTCTGAACATGGCTCATGGGGAGAGGGGAGGGAAGGGCCTGGGTGCTGCAGAGGGTTACTGCGTTTTCAACTGGCTCAGAAAAGTGGGGCTGAAAAGGCAGGATAGCGCTTTTCTGGGGCCAATCTCCCAAGGAACCATCTCTGGTAAGCAACCGCCTGAGACATGTTTTAGCTGTGGTGCTGACAGGGGAAGAAAAAAAGGCCTTAGCAGGCATTCCACACCCCTACCCCCCCCCCCCCCCCCCCCCCCACTTTCCAGAAGGTTCTGGAACAACAGGCTGGGCATGCGAGGTGATTAGCATGCGAGATGAGGGCTGGGGGTGGAGAGGAGGGGACTGGCTGTAATTAGCGCAGCCGTGGGGACGGTGTGGGTGCTGCCCGCCATCATGGAGGGGGCTGGGGCTGAGACTTTGCTGGAGCCCGGGGGTGTTCCTCGGTCCTTTCCTCTCCTTGCAGGTTTTGCTCTTGCTTTGTCTTTTCTCTTCCCCAGAAGTTAGGGCCCCTCAGCCCTTTGTTCAGTAACGAGGCTCAAACAGCTGCCGTTAACGGCTCGTTCAGCCCTTTGGAAAGCCACAAGCCTCAAAGAGCCTCCATTACAAGCAGCAAGGGTCGAATAGCTCCTATACAGCAAGGTTTAAGTAACTCCTGGTATAAACAGCGAGGTTTACTCAGCTTCTGTCGTCAGTAAAACTTCCCGATGGGTCATTCGGTGCCACGTTCCCTTATTTGAGCCCCAGAGTACTTCAGACATGGGTGGTCTCTGAGGGGACTGTCCGGGACCATCTCGGGATAACCCTGCTGGTGCTAAAGCAATGGGCGGGACCAGAGTGGCAGGGGGATCCTAACAGCTAACTGTCCCAGAGGTCAAAATGACTCTACCTGGGAGAGTGGAAAAAGCACCCCATTGTAACTGGCCTGGAGGCTCTGTGCACCCGTGGCATACGCTACCTCAGGAGAGGGTACTTCAGGGACCCAAAGGAGTGCTGATAAGCTTTTGGTATAGCTGCTCTGGCTGTGGAGGTAAGTGTCTACCTTGCCAAGTTGTCTACCTTGCCCAGTCTCTCAGAGGGCCGTTCTGTTGTGGGGTTGCTGAGGATCAAAGAACAGGAGGTGCCAATTATTCGGGGAGAAAAGTAGTTCAGAATATTTTCCAGTAAACTAAAGAAGGCACCAAAACTGAGCATGCTGGACATCTACTAAATTGCAATGGATCTTGTTTATGTTTGTCGTGGATTAACCCGGCTGGCAGCTGAACACCACGCAGCCGTTCGCTCACTCTCCCCCCTCCCTCTCTGGGACGGGGGAGAGAAATGGAAAGTGAAGCCCGTGAGTTGAGATAAAGACAGTTAGTTTAATAAGACAGGAAAATAATAATAATAATAACAATAATAATACAATGATGATAATAGTACTAGTACTAATAATGTGTACAAACAAGTGATGCACAATGCAATTGCTCACCACTCGCTGACCGATGCCCAGCCTAACCCTGAGCAGTCTGGCCCCCTCCCCCGGCTAGCCACCCCTATATATTGTTTAGCATGACGTCAGATGGTATGGAATACCCCTTTGGCTAGTTTGGGTCACCTGTCCTGGGTCTGTCCCCTCCCAGCTCTTACTGCACCCCCAGCCTGCCTGTTGGTAGGACAGAGCAAAAGGCTGAGATGTCCTTGGCTTGGTGTAGGCACTGCTCTGCAACAATTAAAGCATCGGGGTGTTATCAGCACTCTTCTCATCCTAAGCCAAAACACAGCATTACACAAGCTACTACGAAGAAAATTAACTCTGTTCTAACTGAAACCAGGACAATGTTCCACCTAGTGCAGTTCCAGTAATCTGTAGGACAGTGCTGAATGACTTACTTTAAAGAAGACTGGAAGCAGCAGAAACCATGTCAGCAGGGATAAAATCCTTCTGAGACTCCATCCAGAATTACTATTAACAGAGTTTACAAGGGCATGTAGTGACAGGGCAAGGAGTGAGGGTTTTAAATTGAAGGAGTATAGATTTAGATTAGATATTAGGAAGAAATTCTTCATGGTCATAGAATCATCGAATGGTTTGGGTTGGAAGGGACCTTAAAGATCACCCAGTACTAACCCCCTGCCATGGGCAGGGACACCTCCCACCAGATGGAGTTGCTCAAAGCCCCATCCATCCTGGCCTTGAAATCTCCAGGGATGGGGCATCCACAGCTTCTCTGGGCAACCTGTGCCAGGGCCTCACCATCCTCCAAGTAAAGAATTTCTTTTGATGAGGGTTATGAGCACCCCTCACCACTCTTTGTGAGCACATCAATAAAAGGAATAATCCTTTCATTTGTGTATAAATCAGAAAATGCAAGTATGTCAGGATACCTACTAATGTTCATGTAAGCTTGCAGCTATGTAAACAAGAATCACAATAAGCAATTGCAGGAGAAGCCTCTGCACAAGCTGGAACGCTCAAGCACATGTGCAATGGGGGCATAAAAAACAAATACATGCTGCAAATGACAAAACAAAAAGAGAAAAACAAACAATTGGAAATCTAATGGCAAGGAAACGTAATCAAGAGCCAATGTAGCATTCTGGAACATATGGTAGAAACCTTCATTTCAGGCAAAATTGGAAACATTCAGGCACCTTAACATAATTCCTAAGTGTCAGTCACTCAGGCTCTCCAACACACCTCAAAAGTGTCAGCTGAAGGTTTCCTCAAGCAGGCTCATTTCAGTGGGGAAGGCACCTTATCCCCTTCGCTGTGGGCACCAAGGCACCAAACACGCTATCTGATCCCATAGCACTTCTCCACCTTACTAGGGCAGGGAAAGAGGGCACAGTGGCAGCTTGTGCTCAGAGCCTGAAAGCTCTGAGAGGGAGAAAGGGGACAGAGTGTGCTGGATTTGGAGAGGGAGAGATTCCTGTGGCCCTGCTCCTCAGTGTCACAGAAATCAGATTTTTATTTTGCAATTAAAATGTTCTGTTAATACACGAATATATTCTGTTAATATACAGTAGCACTGTAGTTTATTGTCTCTGCTTTCAAATAGCACAGCTACCTTGAACAGATGCGAGGCATGGCCAGATTAGATTTCCCCATCCTTTCCCAAAACCTCTCCATGCTTTGTTCTGGTCCTGACAGGAACTGGACATCAAAAGAAGACTGATGCAGATGTCGTGGGGATTCAGGTGACATCCAGGAGCGAGCAAAATGACCTTCCCACTGCTGGAAGAACAGGAGGCACCAGTGAAGGATTAGGTAGCATTTGGTGTGCTTTGTCACGTTACTTTCTATACTATTTTCTGGAAATAATCTCATTCCGAATAACAAATGCAAGGCTTTAAGGAGGCACTTTGGTCACATTGCCACAATTGTTGGCCTGGATGGAAAAGACTTCACATATTTGAGTATAAGTTTGACCTACAGAGGTACTCATGAGCTGATAAACACAGCCTGCAATGATGAAGGAGAATTGCCTGCCTCCACAGAACAAAAAGAGAGCTGGAATGGGTGTGTCAGGCATGGACCAGCATGTGTAGAAAAAGTTCTTTGCAGAACAAGTCTTCTTGCTAGACAGATGCTGCAGTTACGGGTCAGAGGTTCGCTCAGCTTCCCAATAAAATAAATCAAAGGGACCTTGTGGCCTACTACACGTGTAGTAACTTACCTGAGGATTAACTTCAGCAGCTGTGCTGTGCAGAAGAGATAGAGATAGCTCTGTACCAGTAGAAGCTCTTAGCATCTGCACTACTGCCAGCACTGTTCAGAGACCAAGACACCATAAACCACCATACTCTGGGACAAGAATCTGGGCTGTAGATGATTCACCCTCTGAATCACTGCAGTTATTGGGTCCAGTATTGCAGAAAACTAAATTAGCTAAACATATGCATCAGTAAATACACAGCCAAAATACCAGTGAGGAGGCCTCGGTTCACCATACCTACAAATTGCTGCTACAGGGAAATGTTACAGAGTAAGCATAAAAATAGCTGAGCATTGTTCTGCTGAGCTCATCCACTCCCTTGAGGATACTGCCCCAGTAGAGAAAAAATAATACTAATAAAAACATAAATATAAATATAAAAAAATCTGCTTGCAAAGCATTCAACACACTGCACAGAAGCATGTTTACAGTGAGTGATTCGCTTGCAACTGTAATCTAACACAGAAATGCCAGCTTCTTAGCTGGATTTAGGTAGTAACACCTTCATTTTTTGATCTGGGTAAGCAGGCAGGTGCTTTTCTGAGCCGGCTCAACAAGAGGATACAAAACAGAGAAGAGTTTTGCCAAGTGGCTTTTCAGCATCTCTCAAGTCCAGCTGAGACTGAAATGATTTGAGTGCACATTAAATTTTGTTTGTTCCTAGATCCAAAACCAAAAACCATGGAGGAAAATATATATCTGTGTATTTTCTGATCTGTTACAAGGTGCAGCCTGACTACAAAATTCTGGTGACTTATTTTGTTTAAAACTATCTTAATCTCTGTAATACCACTGGTTATTTTTGCAGGAAGATTTAGAGATCTATTGCTTATTTCTGTTCTTCATCTTTTAGATGAAAACTCGAGACTTCTTGATCATAAAGTAACCCTCCAGATCTGAAGTAATAAAGACACTGCTCTTTCAGAAAAGAAAGCCTCTCTAACATTGGCTTCACTGGGTACTAGGTGCTCATGGCTGACTTTCTTTCCTTTCTCTTTATAAGTTCTGGGACTATGTGCTTTCCATAGCTTGGTTGCCACTTCAGGTGGTGAGCCCAATGGGTATGTTATGTCAATTCAGTGACACTTGCAGTCAGCTCTCTGGGCATGTACTTCACTGAGCAATTTGACATCAGTTGTGTGTGTTAGTCCTCTGTGCCTTATGCGTGTTTTATTCTCTGTCTCCCTTCAAGTGACATAACCTTTGGATTCCAAAACTAACATGCAGTGGTAATTTAGTCATACTTTTTGCATTTCTGGTTGGATAAAGAGGAGGAAAGGTGCACTGAAAACTGAGAAATGGAGAAGTAAGCCAAATACCCATTCTGGGATTCAATGAGGAGCAAGTGGTTATCTACCTTAGGAGTTAAGACAACCCCATTACGGACTCCACCTCCATCAGCCATAACAGGAGCTCAGATGGCTTGCAGACATGCCAGCATCTGAACAAATGCATTTGAAGCTGGAGCTGAAATTTATCTTGTGTATCTTGGTTCTGTGTCATTACAATGATGACAATACAGCGTTCCTTCCTGGTGGAAGTGTTGTTAGAGAAAAATGTTCAGTATTGGAGGAGGTGTGCAGGTACAACTGCTAAAGGAGTTCGTGACATTTACTTTAAAGGGACTAATAGCTGACGAGTCCCTTTGTTTCTAACTGATTCTAAACAGTTGTGGGGGAAAACTTGTCAAATACACACATGCAAAGCCAGCATATATACCTATTTGTGCGATCTGTGGAACAGGCGCTAATTCTGTCTTCACTGTGTCGTTTAGGAAGGATCAAGAAAAAATGAATCTTTCATAAAACAAATGGGGCATGACTGATGTGGACAAGTTACACTTGGGCCCTTAGCCAAGATAGGGTGAAGTCGGTAGGAGGCTTCAAAATGCAGCTCTTTCTGGACATATTTTTAATTTAAAATGACAAGATCAGTGTACAGCCTGGGCAATCCTTGTGTCAGCAGTGCTATCTCCTTTCATTGTTTACATCAGATGAAAGATAAGGCTTCTCCAAAGATTAATATTACTCTGTTAATTAACTAATATATGAGCAGATGTTAACTGCTTCCGAAGTGCCAAACATTTCTGTTGTTATTCACTGCAGAGTCAGATGTTTCTGGATGTTTTTCAGAGCAGTGAGCAGGGTTTGAAAGCTCGGTGACACAACTGTCAGTGGCTTGAACTGCATCTGTGTGGTGAAATCCCAATGCCAGGCTTCGACTCCTGCCTAAGAAAGGCAGCACTCACAGACCTTTGCGGAGTATGGCCCATGGCTAGCTAACACTGCCTGGTGTCTCTTGTCTGGCTGTGAAGGACTTATTCCTGTCTCTTTTTAAAGTGATGTCCAATAGCTACAAGTCATCAATACCAGACTAAAGATGCAGAGTTTGAAAGGCTGTTTCTGATGTGAACTGCGGCTCCAGAATCAAATGCCAGTTACAGAAAAAATGAAAATCTGAATCTCACAGAACAGACAAAAAGCAAGAAAACTTTTCAACCATCACACTAACAAGGCTGCATTTTGTAAATTGCTGTCAGATCAGTCTGAAGGGATTAAGCCTGAGCTCTCACTTCAAGGGATGACTGCTGCAGAGCTCCATTTTGTTGGATGATGTTTGAAAAGAGTCTTTCCCTCTAATCAAGCCCTGCCATAAACAGCAGTCTCTGACCTGCTGCCTCCATAGTTGGAATGCAGATCTCCACATGCAGATCTGAAGTGCCATGTGATGTTTACCTAATTTCTCATTGCTTTATAAAATATTCTGTGAAAAAAATAATAATAATAACTATATATATATATAGTATATATAAAACCAAGCAGGCAAGAACCTAGCACTAATTACGAGCCACGTAGATCCTAATAAGGATCTATTACAGCCCCCTTGCTCCTTGGCTCCTACTTGTGCTGCTTAGAGAAGGAAATGTTAAAACATGGGTTTTGATAGACGGCTGCCTAAAGTGTCCTACAAAGTTTTTAACTCTAATGTAGAGAAGCTCTGAAACCAGTGCAAGTCCTCCTGCTATGCTCTCTCAGGCTGCACTCTTGCTGCAGGTGATAAGCAAAGTAGGACCAGGTGCGTTCAGGTTGAGACCTGCAATTAAAACAGTTTCTTTAAAAAGTACAGCAGCTTTTACACTGTGATATGAGTAGTGCCTTTTTGCAAACATGAGAGATAAAGCTGAGTTTTTAATGAAGTTCTTACCAGTCTTAAAGATGCTGAAAGATGCTCTGCCACTTTGTGGTAGTTTCACTGATCAAACTCCAACAGAAGTATTTCAGTTCTGCCTAATAAAGTTTTACCTGTGAAGTTTTGTAAATTGTGCTGTGTCTTTTTGCCCAGCCCCAGCTGCTTCTCCTGGAGTTGGCTATGGATCACTGCTGTCTCCGTATCTTTGAAAAACATTTTGGCATCTTCTGCAGAACAAAAAATGTGTTACAAACATCCATCCAACAAGTGGTACATAAATATGTAACATCAAACAGTGTATAAGCCATACAGCCTACAACAAATATGTATACAAAGGAGGAACAGTAGGCCTAAAACCACACTTCAATATAAGGAATTTCTATTTATTTAGGCCTTAAATGACCTTCTTTTGAATTTCTTACCAGGTGAGCCACCCCTCTCTCAGCAAGGAGAGGAAAAAGAAATTATTTCCCGTTCTCAGGACACTTGTAAATACAAGTCTATAGCTCCTACTACAAAAACAACAGCACCAACAACATAAACAGATCACACACAAACAGATGTCACTTCCAGAGAGCTAAAAATCTAAGGCCGCATCTGAGTCTCCTGGCTAACAAACCAGCTGCCAAATTTAATCCCAGAGGCTGGCCCAGATGCAGCATAACATAGAACAGAAACTAATGGGGGCTCATCAATTCTCAATTGAGATTTTCCCTAATCTGCCATCAATCACAGAATATCATTGTTATTATCTCAATTGCCAATATGCTCTGGATCTCCTAAAGCTGTGTCCAGAGATTTTCAAGTATTTTTTATCCTGCTACAATATTGAGCTGCTGCAGTACACAGAAGATGAATGACCCTTTTTAGCTCTTCCTAATAATGTTTTTCTTCCAGCCTATATCCAGCAGAACTAATATGATGCTCATTGTGACTTTTTTCCCCCTCCCAGTTCGTGAACCTGTAGTGGTTTTTAGAAATGTAACCTGGCTGCATGTTTGAAATGCACGGTGCAGCAGCATGCAGGAAAGCTCAATATGACAGCATTCAAGATCCCAAGACAGTCTCATAAATTTTATGAGAGGCAAACCTCGAATTAATGAAATCTTGAGAGACATCCTGGCTTTCCTAAAACACAGAGCATGCAACAGTCTGCCACGAGACTGGGAAGATAAAGGCATTTGGCAACCAATATTTTTTAACATCTGAGTTAGTAAAAGTCAGAGTTTAACCTAAATTTCCTGGATTTTACTTTATGCTACAGTAGAACAAAAATGTATTAGCTACTAATGAAACCGACAAGTCAAATTAGGTTTTGCCCTTCAGACATTATTAAGAGAGTTTTATTTCAAAGAAACTTTTGAATGATTACCGTGTAACAACTTGCTGTCTTTGAAGCCACTGGGAAGCTGGTGCTGGAAGCAGAGATCATTCTCAGGAGCACAAGACACTGAGTTGTGCTGGCTGCTCATGTATTTCCTGGCAGAGCTTGATCTTAAAAGCTCTCTTTTGCCAAACACTTGCACATTCAAATGATCACTTCTATATCACCTTCCCCTACCCCGTCAACTGCCAGTGCTCCCTCAGCCTTGCACTTCTAAATCCGAATGGAGCTGGAAGTATTCTCTGACTGGGGCACAAAATCCTGGATAAGCTTTGTGAAAGAGTAACAACAAAATCTCTTGATGGATGCCTGAAATAAACTGAAATTGCATCTGTCCTGGCCACTGATTTTTTATATAGATAATGCTTTATATTTATATGTTACGTTGTTCCTGAACTTTTGATGGTGGAGAGTTAAATCCATTCCTGATCAGAGAGCCTAGGTATTAGTTTAACTGACTTAAGCTCTCAGAAATAGCTCTAGCCATATGCCACAGAGCCACCGTCTGGTTCCACCTCACTGCCTTTTCAGAAATAACTCCTCCAGCCACCTGGACCATTCTGCACACAGTCAGCTGGCTCCTTCCTGCTTCACGGCCTCCCAGGCCCTTCTGAGCTGGTCATCACTCGTGGTTGCTCCAGTGTTCCTTGATGAACCCTGTGCATGGGGCCAAACTACTGGTAGCATATCACTGATGTATAAATATATCCTGAAACAACCCTCTTACCTCCTCCATCATCATCCAAAACACATGCCCAAGAGACACTGTTCTTGCTCTGGGCAACCTTCCTATTTGTATCCAGAATTGTCTATTTGAGTGAAAGTTCTCCCAGATGCCTCCATGTCAATAAATAAAAATACCAGCATTTTCAACAAAACCTTACCAAGAACACCAAATAATTAGTTAGTTCTTCTGCAAAGCTTGCGTTAATAATCATTGGTCATCAGACATCCCTATTATATTTGTATTGGAAATGCTCCCAATCACGGGAACTAGACCACTCAGACTGTTCAGTTGTGACCATGGCTCCCTTCACAGTTTTGTTCCAGGTCATCTAGGAGCCTACCAGCTATTCCCAGGGAAGGACAGGAGACAGCAAGGCCAAGAAATGCAGGCAGCAACTGGCAACTTCGAACTGGAGCAATGGGATTTTAATGCCACAGACATGGACCACTCTTTCCTGAAGCCAGGGTAGTGGTCCAAGCCATGTTTCATTTCCTAACACAGAGATAGCCCCAGGGTCTGCCCAGAACAGCCACAGGTAAATAGATGAGATGCAAAAGATAACATAGTGGAAATCATTCAGGGTAAGGGAAAAAAAAAAATGCTGGTCAAGAGATCCTTACTGGAAATCCCTTTTTCCCATCTACTGTTAAAGGTGGATTCTGTAACTCACAACACATCAGATAACAGGAGGCAGGTTCACAACTAGGATGCAAAATATTTCATGTTTAAAATCAACACCTTGAAGCGCATCCAGAAGCAAACTGAAAGCTAGGGAGGCTCAAGAGCATAAATGTCATCTAGTCCCCCAAGGGAAGCACAGCTGAGTGGGGAAGCAGCTGCATCCTTCCCCAGGCAGAGCACACTGCAGGGGTTGACTCCCATAAGGAACAGCCTGGATCGCTGCTGCAATGCTTGCCAATAAAATAAAATAAAATAAAATAAAATAAAATAAAATAAAATAAAATAAAATAAAAATAAAATAGTCACAATTTTCTAGCTAAGAACACATAGAAAAGTGAGGCCCATACTGAGGCCCATACTGTTCTACATCAAGGAGCAGCCAAGGACTCATCTTGCCTCCATGTCAGTGAATATGGGCTTCAGAAACAAAACTCCGTTGGACCCTCACCTACATAATTTCTTTCTGATTTTTGCCCACAAGTGATTTTAATTTCACTTCATTCAGGCTGAGTATCACCTGCTCATTCTTTCACCATTAACACCACAGGGAAGTATCACCTGCTCATTCTTTCACCGTTAACACCACACCCTTTTCCTGCAGTGTTCATGATGACACTGTGGGATTCACTGCCACAGGACACTGTGGAGGCTGAGGGGCTAAGCAGGTTTGAGGAAGGTCCAGGAAAATTCCAAGAGGATCAGCTCACTCACGGTCATTAAAAACAGCAGTATGGATTGGGCCTGTTATCCAGAAAGCCCCTAAACCATTGAACTCTGGGAACATGGGGATTACTCTAGAGTGATGGTCACTTTTCATCCAAGCATGCACTGCTGGCTGTTGCTGGAGACAGTGTCCTAGGCCAGATGGACCTTGGTCTTGAGGCAGCAGGGCCATTAGTATGTTAACCTCTGAGATGGGCCACTGTGTACACTGAAAGGGCCTGGTACAAAGACTCTGAAGAAACCCACAGGAAACATTAGGAACAGCTGAGCATTATCTGAGCATTGTCACATGAGCCATCCCCGGAGGCAAAGGACATACAGAGCAGCAATCCCTGCTCTTGTGGACCATCTGAGAGGCAGTAGTTAAATGAAACTATGGAAGTGTACAGGACTCAGGTTTGCGTAGTGAGATAAAGCAGCTAGAAGGTGCTTCACAAATAAAATGCCCTTTGATTCCACCCTACTGACTCTTACACCTCAACAAGTGCACTTTGCTCAAGTTTGCTCTGGATCCTCCTGCACCCAGCTTACCCCAGAAGCTGGGAAAGGGGCAAGAGGACACAGTGGCTGCCAGAGAACACAGAGGTTCCGTGCTTTTCATAAAGGATCCTGTTAATATGGTTGACTATGACTATAAACATTTGGAAAATGAAAAAGTATGCCTTGTCACAGAAGTAAGTTTGAAACAGACCAGTGTCCTCTGAAGAATTAAAGATGATTACCCTTCCAATTGTAGAACATAGTATTACAGGAACAAAAACTTATTGCATCTAATTTTGGCAAGTACAGCAGGGTATGTAAAGAAAAAGCCTAAGAGAAGGGGTAAGGAGTGTGGCAACTACCATGAGGAATTGTCACTTTTACTGAATGGGCCCGGTTACTGCATTATGTTAGTGCTAAAGGCCCTGGTTTGATTTGCTGGAATTACATGCACTTAACCTCCTGCAATGCACAGACTATTCCACTGGCTCTGTACTAACAAAGTGTGCCAAATTCATCCTAGTAGGGATATAAAAGAGGGCAGCGCATGACCATATTCAGCTTGTATGACCATGCTGCTTCCATCTATGTTCCCACTCTTCACACAACTTTCTAGAGCCCTTTTAGTCCAAAAAGCATGTAACACAATGCTTCTTAGAATAAAATGCAATTCTCAGAAAAATACTTTCTAGCTACCTAATCTGCCTGAGACCTGTGAGAGTTGCCTCAGTCTGGTACCCACCACAGTCAGTTTGCAACCTTTCACTGGCTTCCATCATGCCTTAGGTATAAGATAAAATTCTTGTCTTAATTGAAAAATATGGATTTGCTGGGGAGAAGTGTTACAGAAAAAGCTCTGAAAAGAGAACTGAAAGGCAATTGTGCATGGCTTTATGAGCTTTGAGTTTGGGGGCTTTTTCTTTTACCTATACTATTTTCAAATGTGTTTATGAGAACAAAAAAGCAGACTGTCTGAAGGTTTTGGGCGCCTCCAAGTACAAACTGCCCACAAACAAAAATTAAAAAGTAGAGGAGAAAAAAAAAAAAAAAAAAAAAAAAAAAACAGATTTTGCTGTTCCAACGTTAATTTAAAAGTAGCATATAGCCCCTTTTCACCCAAAATACCACCAGCATAAATAAGGTACCACAGCTAAATCAACGCCAAGGGTGCCTTGTGAACTTAATAACCAGAGAAAGAATTCTGAAAATAGTCTCAGAAAGAATCTAAATCTGACACACAGGCCTCCTTTGTAGTTTGAAAGAATAAGAACTAATAGAGGATAAAATGTTGTGAGGGTTGGGGGAACAGGAAAGGTCACCTTCATTAGAGTTGACCGTTAACCACAAGTCCAGCCAAATTTACCCTGTGAAGAATCCTTGTGGTTCAAGTGATAATCAAATTTTTTAAGAAGATGCAAAAAGATGTGAAAGAAAATTCTCTTTATTTAGGTAATTGCTACTGTATCCCTAATCGAAAGGGAACAGGGACAGCTGGAGGGTAAGAGCAGGCCTCCGAAAGGCAAGAGATAAGGAACATCTGCTAGCAGGGACTTGAGTGAAAAAAGACCTGTCTGTGAATGGACATAAAATATTAATATTCCCGTATCTAAGTTCCTCTAGACAATAGAAGAAATAAAGAGCAAACCTTGAAAAAAGCAGATTTCTCTATTGCACTCCCCAGGAGAGATCCCAACACACACCAGTCCCCAAGCACCAGTCCTTGAATACACAAGGCTGCATTTTAATGAACTGTTCTGTTGTTGCTTGCTGGCTAACTTGTTTTCCTCTCCCTGTGGAATTTTAATTTTGCCTGTGATATGTATACGTATTACAATAAACTGGCCAGCTCGACAGAGCTCCCTGTGAGCTGCTGGGCACTGTTACAAAAGGCTAATGACCCCTTGCCACTTTGCTGATGAGCATTCTCTCCGAGTGCCGTGTTTTCTTTGTGGTGACTACCTTTCCTTGGTGGCATTTAAAAGCAATTTTAACAAATGGATTTACACAAATAATAGATTTCCTTCTGACCGAGGCCTGCCACTGGCACCGTGTTGTATAAAGCCATTTCATAGTCATGTCAAGCTCCATTTTGGAAAAAATCACTATATTTTGTTTGGAAGGCTGTTCCAGGACTTGACAGATGTAATGATGGGGAGCCACCTTCTTATTTCTAGCCTGAATGTGCTCCTTGCCAGCTCATACACCTCCAGTTCCTCATCCTTCCAATTAGCACTGTTATGATCAGCAATTGTATTTCCTCCAGCCTCCATCTAGCTAAGCTAAACATGAAAATCTGCTCTAGTCTCTTCAGATACGACCTCTTCATTCAGATACGATCTCTTCATTCTCCTGCTCCTCACCATAATCCCCCTGCAGACCTTTACCAGTCTGAATGCAGAGCTTCATGTTACCCCAGACACACTAAGAACAAGCTTGCCATAAATCCTGCTGTCTGTTCTCTTCACTGGAAATATGAGGATACTGTTCCCTGCTGCTAGCAGTCACCCTTGGGTCAGTTATCTCACCAAAGATTTTCCTCTGGAAAAGAAGCCCAGGCTTCAGGTCACCGAGCAAAACTACAGCCTGACACTTCATCTTAAGACTGTATATGGAGCCCTTCTCCACAGACATGGGAAACTCTGGTT